TTCTTAAATAGATCACTCTAATCACTGGGATGACTTTCACATGAGAATTTGTGACTAAAATTTCAAGTGTTAGTATCCCTAATTTCTCGGCTGCAGATCTCATGAACACATGTCTTGTATTCAATATTGAAAAGCTTTTTGATATTCTTGAAAATCTCACTTGCCAAGTTGTTCAGAACTTGACTAGAAAACTAGTTATCAATGAATTTGAGGAATTTTGAGAAAGTCATCAATGAACAATTTCTTATATTGGAAACTTTTGTCAGCAAAACTGAATACTAATTCAAGTACAGTATTCTTTTAGTTGATAAAGTAGAAGATGAATAGATCTGGGAATTTGTGTTTAAATAGCAATATAACAACAAGTATATACTGGAATGCTAAACTAGTGTCTGTCAGACTCACTTCAATTTTCATTGTCAATCTGCTTGTAAATGACAATTTGATTCTTGACACTAGGTAAAGAAATTTCACATAAAAGCCAGTTACAATGAAATTCTTGAACTAACAATCAGATCTCTGGTGTAAGGATCTTGTTTATCTAAATTTACTATAAATCACTCACAAAACACTGAAACAAAAGAGTATAGTAGCAACTTTATCTTCATAAACAAAAATGTTCCTTCTAAACATCAGAATACCTATAGTTATACCTTAACTATCATCTTGTGATAACTGATGCAAATTCAACATAGAATGACACCACAATAAGATGTGTATTTCTATTACAATTACCTATTATAACCTGAAATATGACTAATATTCAGTTAATTATAACTAACATTTAATATAAATTATATTTATAATAATGTCTATTATATGATTTTATAACAAATAGAAATGTCAATATAACTCTATATATTATTACCAATAATAACAACTTCAGGAACAATTTACAAAGCAAATTAACTACTAGCACATTCTCCATTTTAACTCAGCTAAATACACATCCTATAAATTTACCTAGGATAATGTCTAACATGAGAATTATTCTCTAAGGTTTATTCAGTTTGTTTGTATTCAGGTAAGCATTGTGATAAAATGTAGATTGAGGTGAGAATCAGAAAACTATTCATAACTCTGTATTTTATCTAAAATCTTATAACAGTCCTCAGATTCTAGTTTCAGATTCTAGTTTCAGATTCTAGGGATGTTTCCATCTAGATGATATCTTAACATCATAATCAAATATTATATTACAAATATCATCCACCAATTTCATAAATATGTCGAATGTGTGCGACAGGTACAAAACTCATTGAAAGAACTGCATATCATATACAAATTAGGAAAATATATACAACACAGATATCATGTAATAACCCTTGACAAATAATGATCTGGATACTTTCAACAGTGATATATGATAAACTGTAGAAACTGGTAGCTTAAATTTGAATATTCTACCAGCCTTGTAAGCATAAGATTGCTGCAATGTGTGATATTTTGCTACATGTAATGGCATGTCAGAAGTTTTGATGTTCAGGTATGAAAAATATCACTGGTTCAATATTGTTTACACATTATTAAATCTTTTGCAGGATGTAAATGTAATGTTAAAATCCTGTTTCTTAACAAAGACTGGAAAAATAAATATTCTGTCTCTTTTAGTATCTATATACTTACTTAAAATAGTAACAAAAATTCTCAATTGATGCAATATTTATTTTCTGTGATAAACTTTTGCTACTTTCCGTTGACGTCAGGTTTTGTAATTATTACGCAAGTCTTTTCACTGATTACAAGACTAGTCAATATTATGATTTAAAAGCATACATAATTCTCTATTAAACTCTATTCAACATCATTTCTATACTAATCTTAAATAAACATAGACATTACTATATACAATATATTTAAAATGCTCTATAATATTTACATTTTCATATTTCTCTCAACAAACATTGAAAACAAATATTCCATATCCTGCTCTTTGAATTGAATTTTTTTTATCTAAATGATATTGCTAAATGTTGAGGTTGTTAAGAACCCATAAGATTTTAGCAAAACACATCTATTTTTACAGTTCAAAATAAACTATAAATCAAGTTGGGTAATTTGTTGTGGAGGTATAAAGATATATAAATCAAGTTAGGATGTATTATAATACATATAATATATTTCGCATCAGTTATGCGTCGTTGAATATTTGAGATTATATGAGATACGACAACTCAAGGTAGATTATTTTATAAACCTGATGACAAGAACTTGAGCTAGCTTCACAAATTATTCAATATTTTCTTACAACTATAGAAGGGTAATGTAGAGAGAATAAATGGTTTAACATTATTTACATTATTTTTTATTTTCAGAGTCTTGGTACGGTATGGCAAACAAGAACAAAATGACATGAAGGAATCCAATCAGTAATTTTGATAGTTGACGTCTATTAGGTTTATGTTTATGTTTATGTAAAGCCTACACCAGTATTGCTCTGTAGGTACTAAATTCATCTAAAATGTAACATTTCTATTACTTGTGTTCTTTATTCATCAAACCCAGTGAATCAAATAAAAAATTTGTAAGAGTAAATGAAGCAATGTGTTTTTATGGTTATTATATTCAGTGAAAGTATTGAAGTGAACTTTATTTTTCTCCAGTTCATCCTCCATAAGTCTGCCAGCCTCTAATTAAATTTTAAAACACTTTCTTTTCGCTTTAAATTAATCTAAATACCTTTCTCTTTATAGTTGGTTTAATCTCAAGTATTCTAGACAGACAGATAAATCAACCTTCACAATTATATATCACCAGAGAGTTTCAAATTGATTCTTAAATTTAACATCCCCTCTCCAGATAACTTATATTTCTACTGAGACTTATTACTTCACAGTCCTCTATATTCATGTCTATTTAATACAGAAGTTTGATGCTTTTGATAAATAAAAATAAAAAAACTGATGTAAAAGGAAGTGTTGAATAGGAAAAAGGAAAATTTCTTTAAGCATATCATTTTTTAACAATTTGAAAAATTCTGTTACGACATCCATTCGAAAATGCAGTTGGTGAGTTCAATCCCTGATTATCATACTTTTCAAAAGTAAGTATCACCATAATCTTCATTTTCAAAGAAATTCTTTACTAAAATCTTACTAATATCTCTAACCAACATTGTTTAAATACTTTGATCCCCTGATTAAATACATATTATTTATATCTAGCATATCAACATTCTTCGTGAAAGCACATGACTGTACTCTAATTGCTATTTTTTCCTTTGCAATTTCTTCAATAAGAAAATATTAAAATAACACCTTTCTTAAATCTATAATGTGCCAAACATAAAGCAACTGAGTGCAACTTCAAATTTTTGATTTGTCTTTATGCTTAGGTCAAATACATCCAAGAATTCAAATTAGGATTCTTCCAGATGCTGTTAGTCTCTAGCAGTTGCTGAATGTCAAGTTACTGTACAATTTCTCAAAATTACTAACCTCCAAATATTTAATTTCATCTTCATTTTGAAAAAAAAATCTTTGATCTCTTACTCCAGTTATTCAATCATTTAATAATTGATGAATCATACACAAAGATTGTCAATTATTCAAATCATGAAAATATTTCTTCAACTATTCATTTCCGTAAAACATCAGTGATCACTATCTGTACCTACAGTATTTTAGCAAGTATTCCTTTGGTCTGTTGAACTAGTGCCTGAGGACATTGAACAATTAAATAATACATTAATGAACTAAAAGTCTTTATATATGTACCCTACCTCATTAACCTCAAAAATAGAAGAGTGTTACATTGATTGGTCAGAACTATGTAAATAAATTATTAAACTTAATGTCAATCAAGAGATAAAGATCTTCGGAAAAAAACAAAAACTTGTTAAGTATCAATAAAAACAAGATGGCTACCCTATGAACAAATACATCAAATGTTTTTACACCTTGGGATTTACAATCCTTTCAATTATTAATCACTCAGTTATTAGCCCAAGGAACAGATGCAATCCTAAACTGATCATCATGCCTTTACAAATGATGACATAGATATCATAGCTTTATATGAAATATATGTTGTAAAACCTATCCATTTAAAGACCATTTTAATGCATTTTAAATATTTTTTACTCCAAAAAAGTAATCATATATTCATTTCGTCAAAATTTACTGGACCAATACATGTATTTTAATCAATAGTCACAGCATTTACTTGTAAGATAAAGCATAACCTTTATTTTTCCTCTGACCTAAAAAATATTCAATAAACTTATAACTATTGCAGTTAACCGTCATCTGTTTCAAGGACAAAAAATCCTGAGTTATTTACTTGGTATATCTGAAACCAGGTTAATTCATTAATTAGGTAAGAAGATCATTAAGAGGAGTGACATTGACAATACAGTGATTTGTGACATGTCAATATTTACACTGTCAATAAAATAATGTCAATGTCATAACCTTAATCCGTAATCTTTTAATCTTCTGACATTTATATTACAACTGTTTTATTATCTTGTAATTGTTCAAGTATTACAGAAGTTCATTAGGACCTTATTTTACACCAATAACAAGTCATCTAAATTGCACTGGGGAAAAAAAAAGCCATATCAATTAAAAAAAATCAATTCATTTTAACCAAAACATAATAAAGAAATAGGTCCTCATGTTTGACATGTTTGATATAAAATTATTGATGCATTTTCATCTTTACATATATTTAGAAAAAACAAATTTCATGGACATATTGAATGAATATTGCCTTTTTTAGAACAAATATAGGTTTTAACACTATTTCTGGACTAATGTCTTTTAAACTTTGAATCAAAGTTTTTAAACACATTGTTCATTATATGCCATCAAAAGTGATCAAAAATGATTGAATTAATAGTTTATATTTAATACCATCTGTCATTGACTAAACTTGCAGCTGAACATTGCAAAGTATCAAAACTAAAATATTTAAAGTATGAAAATCTCCCTAATCTTCAGTTGAAGTATGAAAAAATGTTAAGGTTGTTGGTTTTGAAGATTATAATAATCAAAGATTTACAAGGGTTTAGGTGAAGAAAGTGGCCTGTAAGTGATAACAAAATACAAGTACACATTGTCAATATTGAAACAGACCTTTACTCTATTTTACTCTAATCATTTATTTTTCAAAATGTCAAAAGTTAACAGCAGTTTAAATTCTAACTTTCTATTTGACATTGTTCAACATGACATTTTTCAATGGAATTTGAAGCCAATTTCACTTGACAATAATAATGCATTGACCAAAAGTATAAGGAATTTAATTTCAGAGTAGGATTTGCAGCACCCAATCTTTTATGTCCAGAACTCCTATTAGGTTTCGGAGAAGTTTGATAGTACAGATTGCTAATGACAGGTTGTGGTGCAGCAAAAGATTTCAATTTGAACTAACCAAATGCTTGAGCATAAATAAGCACAGAGAAGATTAAAAAAATTAATTTGTTATCTGTATCCAGTAAAATTTTTACCCCAAATATGAAGGTAACCTATAATTATGTTTCTAAGCCTGGGGGTAAAGGCTTCTGAAATGTTTGTTAAAACGGGGAAGAAGATTATATATAATTCAGATGTAGATGTGACAGCATTATGGGTAAAGATGAGAGACAATATAAAGTTGCAGACGACATCTCAATAAGATTGACATGTTATTATAGCTGACAACATAATATAGGGTTATATCATTCTCTATCTATTCAAATCAATTTCAACATGGTGATTACACTTAGTTATATAAATTACTTCTCTCAAATTTTTTATATTATGTATTCAAGTGTGGCCCTGCAGGAAAAAAATGTCAAATTGAAATTCAAGTCTTCTGAAATAGTTGTTTATGATTAAGACAACTAGATCAATAGGACAAGTACTAGATCTTTAATTTCCTTCGGGATCAACTTTTAACTTGCTACATTATTTCAAGGTTCCATCCAATTGATTTTACAAATCAAATTAAATTCTTCCTTCATTTTCTACCTAACAATATCAATCTATTATGCTAGTAACAAGATATGATTAACAAGAAGATCAAATAGTTGTTTGAAGATACACAAGTCAAATTAATCCAATGCCTTGATATAGGAGACCTTCATTAAACTGAACACAATAACAACCTTATCAAAATTCACCTATATTTTATACATATAATATCATCTTATCATTGTCAGTAAATATATACCTTAGTGTTTATTCTTAAATGGACGACATGACCCTTCAACTCTGACCTTATAGTTTTTCATTCTCTATTGAAGATTGGCATGTCCATCTGGAGTAATTGACCAATCATTCCAATATGTCTACTTCACACATCAAGATGGTAACAAAAAATTTACAATAGTAAAACATGTTGTAAGCTTATGTATTCTAGGAATATTCAGAAAACCTGGGGGGATGGTATATCCTGTGTCCCCCCCACAAATGGTCATAATGGATGTAATGGATGTAAAAGAGGCATAATTTGGCATCCGAGAACATCAAAGTGCACTATTCAAACAATTTATGGTAGAGTGACAGGAAGACCATTCGTTCGTTTTGGGAACCATCTCCACTCACGTAGCGAATTTTATCGTTCGCATATCAAATTCGCACCTACGGTCTAACGGTTTCAATAAATCCTGTGTATGCCACTGGTCCCCCCGCATTGAAAAAGCGATCTGCACTCATGGTTTACTTGTTTACTAATATTTATCATTATTATCATTCTCATATTATTTTGAGTATGTTTCATTTTTCAAAAAGTTTTATCAAAATCACAGACATCTATTTTCAAAGCATGAGTATGATACTTCAATCATACAACTAAAAAAAGTGAAATTGTTTTATGGTCACTGGTTGTTCATTTCTTTATATCAGAGTTAATTTTCACAGTCATCTATACGTTTAGCCTATATCCTTTAGAAAGTCCTGAATGGAAGCTAGTAAAATTGATGATATGAGTCAGTCAGATTAAATGGACAGTTTTCAGTATATTGGTTGGTCACAGTAGGTAGTTCCTTTAATTACATTTCAAATACCTCAACATCCCATAATACTTAGTTCTCTATTGATATTCAATGGACCAGAAAAAATGAGACAGGACCAAACTACAATTTCAAGATGGTTGATGTTTCGAAGCAGTTCAAATACAATGTGAACAATTGACAAAACTTGATTTACATTTTGTTCACATGAGAAGGTCACTATGTATAAAACGTAACTTGATTAGAAAGAAGGTAGCAATAAATATGAACACCTTATAGAACACCTTACAAGATAGATTTAATTGGTTAAGAAAAATATCATAAGAACAAGACTGCAGTAGAAAAAATGCTAGATAAAAACACAGACCAAAAAAATATCAGAAAACTTTTAAAAAGAAAACTGAAAATTTCACTCACCCTTGTTTGGCTCTTAAAGCAGATCTTTCAGATTCATCTCCTTTATCAGCTTGGAATGGACTGTCATTTTGGTACCGTAAAAAATCTTTATTTTCATCATCTCTACGGGGTGGAGTTGATTTACCTTGGCCATTTAAGGCACCATTTCTTTTGTGATTCTCCATAGCACAAGCACCACCTTGATTAGGATTTGGACCATAAATATAGAAGCCTCCTTCTTCCGAAACATTAGCGAATCCATTGACCGGTAGTCTATTGTCATATAGTGTTCCAGTCACAGCAATTTCACTCATTGGCCTCTGTGGCTTACGTTTAGGTGTTTCATTATTTCCACTAGACCTTGCTGACTGTAAGTTATCATCATCAAAACTTCTCCACTGAGGACGATGATGAGGACTACCTCGAGGAGATCTGTCTGCTGGCACAGCAGGTAGTGGTCTGTTGACCATACGAGGATGACGCATCTGAAATAAGGAACAGTAGTGTCAAACTTCTAGACTGACCAAAACAAACACAGACAATGTTTATTTTGTCTATTGATTTATTCAATGTTTTAAAAGTCTTGAAAGTTAATTTGAACATTTTAATCCATTAAACATTGCAGAAAATCAATACCTTTAAATGTTAAAAACTTCAGTCTACATTTAAAAATAATTCAGAGAACAAATTCTTTCCCCTGAATGAATACTATTTCAAAATTCAGAAAAAAGGACAGGGGGTATAGTTTCTCAATTAATTGTGGTCTTTGGTAGAAACCATCTAGAGTTATTTCCCATTTAAACAACAAAAATATATACTAAAAATTCTGACCATGTATCAAGCTCAATTTTCACCTTAAAAAAATATGAAGTATTTGCAAATGATATTTGCTATTATTGACGCCACATTGCATGAAGAGGTATAATGACACCAAAAAGGGACGGATATAAATTAAAGATACCTTGACTTCTTCTTTCTTTTGTCCATTAGAAATTGGCTGCTGGATGTCACGATTATCTGAAAGACTAGAATTTATGGCACTACTTCCATTGGATAAAAATCTTCGATCTATTTCATCTTTTAATGCTGTCACAGGTGAACCTTTTATTTTCGCATTATTATGATTCACTTCCACAGAATTTTTCATGGCGGCCACTGATATTGACTGATGTTGATTGGATAAAGAAGGCACATTCGGAGGTGTAGAGTTACGTTTGGCTGCCGCAGATGCTGCTTGATGAACGGGTGATCGAAGTTCATAAGCTGATTCTCGTGAATGACAAGCACCACTAGGAGGAGAGGTTGTACGTCGCAATTGTAATGTTGACGCCTCGATAGGAGATCTATGTTTCACTTTATCAACAACTTGTTTGGCCTGAAATAAGAAGATAATTTTCCTCAGTCTTTTTAAAAATTCAAGAGAGGCTATACTGAAAAGTATACACGACTGATTATCATAACCAAACATCAAAAATCCAAAGTGAAATATCATCATTAAATCGTGACCTACGCTTGGTTCAACATATTTATTTGTGTATGTTTCAAAGAATCAAATGTAAAAAAAAGGTCAAGGCTATCATAGTTTTGTGTCGATTGAATATTAAATGTATTAATACCAGTTAAACATGTCTATTGATTCAGTCAGTAAGTAGCATAATATAGTAAATAAGCTATTATTGAAATTATGTACATGCCAATTTCAGACATGCATAAAATGAATTATAAGAGATGAACTGTGATATTAAAAAATGATAACAGATATGAAGAGTCTGCTCTTAGACAATTATCAAGTTGAAATTTGATAAACCAGTGTTAAGGTAGAAATAAGCTTATTGAAATGAAGAAATGATAAAAAAACAAACAGATGTCTTGAAAACAACAGCATTAAAACAACAGTTAGCATTAAACAAATCAATAAAATTAAAAACACTGATAATATAAACAAAATATTTAAATAATATATCAAATATTGGTGAACTAAAGAAGAAACTAATAATGCATCAGAAGAAAGGTAAGAATAATAATGTAATCCCTTTTTCATTGGATATAACACAGGTAATGAAATTTTTAGATGTTAAAAGTTCAAGAAGAATCTTATTCAGTAAAATTTAACAAATGAAACATAACAAAATTCAGAAAAAATTCAGATCACTTCATACATCACACTTAATACCTCAAAGCAATGATCCAAAATATAAATTTCACAGTACAAAATTATTTTTAATTGTTCAAAACTTATATAAAGTGTACACAAAGATTGATGACATTCAAATTCCACTTAACGTCCACTTCACAGAGTTGTGCAGTAAACTACCATGGAAGAAGTATTTGTATATTTGGTGTGTTTTAAGACTTGAGCTGACACCATATCCTAGCTATTTTCAACATTTCCACAATTAAAACAAACAACATATTGACATAGTCAACAAGTCTTAATTTAACATTAACTCTACGTAATACACCGATTTCATTCACTTTCTAAACTAACAAAACCTCTTAGAAACTTAGAAATTTACAGACATAAAATGATTAAAACATCTCAAATTATTTGTTCATTTTCTTACCTAGCCTTGATATATTATAGAAATACACAGTGACTTAATGAAGAATATATCTTTGTTTATTCAACGACTAATCTTTGAATGAAAAACATGTCTTGTTAAGTTTAAACTATCCCACATACAACAGCTTTAAGAAATCTACCAAGTATTTATATCATGTTAAAGTGTTTTAGTATATTTTCTTTATAACTGTATCACAAGACTGTTAAGTTTTCGAAAAATTATCTTTGAAATAAGCAATGATACACTTTGCAGAAGATACAGAAGACAAAATAGGACATATTACCTTTAAGTCTGCAATCTCATGTTTTTTGAAGAGGTCAGACCTGGAGAAAATCTGATGATTGACATTCGATACCTTATGGTAGATACTAGGGTGATTTTCATTATTTTTTTTTTTTCATACATCGATTTTATTGTCCCGATGGGCTGAATGTTAGACAGGACCATGTCATTGTGTATTGAGACTATTTCTGACCCATGTAAAATAAAGAGTTTATTATTACATTGTATTATTATCCTCCAGTGTTATCAGTATTCAGTTTAGAGATAGACAGTAACCTACAATTGGAATCATCACTACTTCAGGAGAGGACAATATCAAAATAAACAACATGCCATAATACAATATAGATAATACTGATACAAACCAGGCTATAAAACATAGATCAGGATTCAAGCTATTCAATCTCTATTTGCATATATATATCAATATGTGTTTTGCCAAGTGTACAAGAATGACACAACAAATTCTGATTTTGAATATCAAATAATTCTGTTATTATCTATCATCCGATCAAATCAAGATTTCAAATCAAGCTTTCAATTCTTCTCTTCTGTTGAAGTCATTCTAAACTTAGATAAACTTTGTATATATATATATATTTCAGTTCTTGGCACTTGGTACTGTAGCTTGAATCTTGATATTGTCTTCATACAATAAATACCATACATGCTGGGTTGGAGGGAAGAATGGTCTAATATGAATATATAATATAATACATACATAATACACTACCTTCTTAGGGCTATACCCCAGCAACTGTAACAATAAATTTACATACGGTACTTAATTTCAATGCCATGATATTTTAGACATTTTTAGTTGATAAAAATGGTATTATCAAAAGAGATGTAAACAATTTTGATCAGCAACAGTAGTATATAATGCTTTAAACATTTTTTTGGTACAAATCATGGTTATATCAATATATAAGTAAATAAATACATGTCCATACAGAACATTGGATACCACTCTGTGGCTTTATTTGTCTCCTGTTAGGAGAGTTATCAGAAGAAAGCAGGAAAGTACTGGCAAAGATCAGACAAATAAGAGTAAACATCATCAAGAATAATTCAAGATGACATATGCAAACCAAATCAGTCATTAAGAGGAGTAATTGTACACTATTCAGGCTATATTGCTAATTTTGTACATGCTATAAAATGTACAAAAAGTATGGTAAACATCTAAATTGAGCTTTAAAGGGAGACAATTATTGTTCTTCAAATAATACAATCTTAGTAATCATGTTAACTTATTTTCAACCATCTCCTTCCCATTCATGGCCTTAGTTTGATTTTTTAACTTTTTACACACTACACATTGAGCACTTTAATTGAATAATTTGCACTTAAAAAATTGCAAAGGTTAAAACATCATCCAAGAGCTCATAAATTTGTAATGATATGTACAAATTGTACATTGGTAACTTTAAAACACTATAAAAAGAGAGATTCAAAGAGTTACAGTTGCTGTAGGCTAAAATCATTCTCATTCAATCAACAGAGTCATGAAATTAGAACAGTAGAAAATAAAATCTAGGTGAATTAGAGCTAACAATGATATCAGTACATGGCTCACCACAACAGTTAAAGCAGAAATTGAAGACAAACAATTGAAATATGAAGGAATTTCCTTTATGTGGTCAATAATAATGAAATAATCTCCAAATACCAACTTTAAAAAATGCACAATGGCACTAGATTCCTTGTAGCTCATTAAGCTGATCAATGTCATGTTAGCCATTCTTACCTTCATTACTTAAGAACCCCTCACACCATAGCGATTACCAGTTGTCTAAGGTTACGAATAAGAATAGCTGTCTGTCGAATGCAACTCTCATGCAACTGAGTTGTGAATTGCATTCGGTACCCATGACCGCTTTCATTTTTTGCAACCATACACAACTGGTAATCAACCATACACAACTGATAATCAACCATACACCACTGATAATCAACCATACACAACTGGTAATCAACCATACACAACTGATAATCACTATGGTGTAACTGACTGAAAACATGTTACTGGATTTCGATATATATCTTTGATATATTTTCTATTTCATTACAAACTTGCTTGAAAAATTCAGGAAAGTAGAAACACAGAACACTAAAACAGATTTATAATATAAACTATACATACCCAAACCTTATTTTTCCCAACAACTAATTCTCGTTCTTTTTCAGCTGCAGTTTCTTCACTCACTTGACGACGATATTCTAAATGTTGAAAAGCTTTTTCTGAAAATGGTGTAGGTGTAGCTATCTCGTTTAATTTGGCCTGGAAATTTTTCTGTTCCTGTTTTTCCAATTCACGAAACTTAGCTTGCTGCTCCATGACTTGCTGCTGAATTAGTTCATTAAATGTGGGCTGCTTTTGTCTTTGTTTTGCATAGGCCATTTGAAAGGCATTTCCAACGATGGCATTGAGTTCCTCTGTCTGAAAATATATTGAAATCATAATCTAAAATAGGAAAGCAAACTATATAAAAATAACTATCATAGCGACAAAAAAGGGACCAAGAAACATGTTATGTAGGAAAGCAGTACCACACTGTTACAATTTGGAATAATTTCTATTGCCAGCGAAATGTTCTGTGACACAGTACTTTTAACTACATACACATCAACTTCAAGAATCTTATATCATTGGAATAATAGTTCAAGAGAGGGGTAGAATTTCAATAAGAAACTACATTCTTAATTGATGGCAAACTAATTTGATGGGATGGTTAGACCCCGTGTGAGCAGATTGAGATATTTTCTAATACTTATCAATCTAGTTCACAACTTGTCTTCTGTTTGAACATGACAAATTAACACAAACACATGTTTATGTTTTGCAGCTGCAGAGTTATATCATTAAAATCAATATTGTTAAGTTTAGAAAAAAACCCTGAGTTATGAAAGCTGTTTTGTACTGTGAGCTATATATATTGAACTTATATTAAATAATTAGCAACTAAGGACAAAAATCAGTGACACCCTTGTTAGCTTGTTGGTCAGTGGTCCAATTTTCGTCTCAAATATGAAATGTTGAAATTTCTTTAACCATGATCTAAACATGATGATAGTGTTTAACTGTCATATCCCAGTTTATCATAAAATGTGTTAAGTTTAAATATGATTTCTCCTTACAATCCATCCTAACGATCCATGACAATATTGTAATATTGCACATTATCAAAACAAGAAACTAATGATATATTTAGTGGACTACTCGTGTTTATGCTTTGATAATACGGAATAAGTAACACCTTATCACCAGCACAATTTCATTAACTTCATACACCTTCATTAAATCAGGTGGTTAACCTCAAACAGAATAAAATACCACACGACAAAACAAACAAATAATCCATGTCTAGAATTTACACATATAGATCTATTATACTTTATATTCACTCAGACATGTACATCCTTTTTAAAATAATACCTTTCACAGTCACCTGTATTCATTCACTGAACACAATTACTCTAATTGACAGTAAGACTGCATATTTCTCTTGTCTTCACTATCTATAGTCCAATCTACAGGTGTGTTCATGAGGTGCAAGTCTCCTTATCTCAAATGATTCATGTTGGTTAGAAAAAGAATTTCAAAGTAAATCTTCAAGGATTAGTGAGCTACTTTAGTCCGTCTGACACCTCAACTTGTACTAGTCATTACACATTACTTCTATACATGATTTAAAGGAACATGACATGAGAATAAAAAAAGATGTTCACCCAGACATTCCTTAGGTTGTATATGTATCATTAATGAATTTTAATGAATATATCCAAAAATTGACTACACTGGCACTACAGATATCAATTCCTTCTTCTGTTCAGTTCCAACAAGAATGAAATAATCGGGATAAAAATCTATTAACTTTGGAATTTCAAGATTTCCCAATAAAATACAAATCCTCCTTAAATCTTGTCAATAATTAAAATAATAGTATAATCTAAATTCCTCAGGCAAAAGTGGAAAAGATTTGAAGTTTTTATTCACACGCTATGACCTAATTATTCATTATTCAATAATAACAATCACAACAACTGTCAAATACAGGTTTCTCTACCTACACCAAAGATTAAATCTTTCACTTTAATGGAAAACTTATCACAAACCATCCTAGTTTATATTGAATATTCAATTCACAAGTCAAACAGTCACATATTGATGCAAAGATTGTTTACTACATGAATTTCTGAATTTAGGATTATTGATTAAAAGTCGATATAAAAACTAAAACTCATTGAAATAATAAGTTGTTTACTACTTCTAAAATATCATGTCCCACAGGTAAAATAAAGTTTACAAAATCTGAATCAAATTACAGTGCATCAATTCTATATATCTTTTCTAGACAAATTTCCAACAGTCAAGATTTTCATTGTGGAAAAAGATATGTGTCATTGAAATTGATTGCTATCAGATATTTAATAATTTGTAGAGTAAAGCTTATTTTCTGCAATAGTTCACACTTGTTGTTCCATAACACAAGCTGCTATTAGACAATGAATTTATTTAACGTCTAAAAAAATATAAAAACTTGACAAACCTACCTCTTCATTTGTATTGGTAATAAAGGCATGACAATATTGTACATTCATATGACCTTTAGGTTCACGAGCTAACACTGAAAACTGGCACCAATCTGGGTCACATGTAGCGTAGGATATACGTTTTAAAGCATGTGCCATATGAACACTCTGAAATATAGAATAAAATTGTCATTTAAACATAATGCAAAGTCAAAATCTTTGGTTTCACATTTTTTTTGGAAGAAGTCATGTTCTTTACAAATATTCAAATTCTCTACTAGTCAATCCAATTGTTCTTTTTTAGTCACTTACTAAGAACAGGAGAATGAAACTAATGATTTTCCCAGAGAAATATGTAATTTTGACAAATTGTCAACTAAAGAGGTGAGAAAGATCAGGTCAGTGATTCAAGCCAAGAGAAACTACAGTGCATAAATACAACTTGTTATTTACATGGGTTGAATATATTGCTAAATAAAAACATATTAATGGTGTGACAAGTATTATATTATCTGATTATTTGTCATTTTCTTAAATATTGGTCTATTGTCAATATTTTACTTTAGCCTACTTGATAATAAAAATTTGGGAGCCATAAAGTAGTTTGTCCACCAACAATGTAAGCTTATTTTTAAGTCTGTGAAGACTGTTCTTCTGTTCAAGACATACATAATTGATGGTTGAAAAAAGAATAAGTTATACCTGTCCATCTTCACTACAGACTTTTATCCCTGATAATGATATCACTAATAATACATCTTTATTCTGTGTTACATTCTACAAAATACATCAACAAAATATTATTTTTCTACTAAGTGTTAGCGATGAATCTTGATGTAGATTTAGACGTTTTGCTCAATGTTTCTTCCATGGGTCCTAACTTGCTACATTTGCCATTACCAACAAATTTCTATTTTCTAGATCATTTTCAATTGAATATTTACTGATGTACATCTTTTGAACAGAGCCATTAAACAAAAAGAGTTACTGACAGTAAAAAAACAAACAAAACATCCAGATCTGATAGTGACTGTAAACCCCTTATTTTCTCTAGGAATTTGATATACAGAGCTAGTAACACAAGTGCTAGAACTTATATATATACATATATATAGAACCTATTTATACATATATATATATATATATATAGTGTTTTATAGTGTGTTTCTGATATTATCAAGTAAAATAATACATAATTCATATCATTTATTTGATATTTGTTATATAATAGCTTTTAACACATTTTGCTTTTTAACATATTTTACTCTAAGGTACACCAAACATGTCAAATCAAACATTATTTATAAAATCACAGGTAAAAAAAATACACTTTAAGAGTTAAAATTTATATTTTATTCCAAGTAATAATAGAAAGTAGTCTACAACTATTTGCTCACATTTTCTCTTCATAAATACAGATACAGGCTAGGGTCATGTTGACTTACAATAAACCGGTGTGCAAAAATCAAAATCATCATTAAAAGTGGGCAGTGGTCTTTCTCATAGTTATGTCTGTATGCTACACCTGTTCAACAAACGTGTTGATTTCATCATGGTTTGACAAAATATTGTCTGGAAGAAAGTAATAAGAGATTAATCATTATACTTACTCGCATTGATTCCAACTCTTTCTGGACATATTCACTTCGAGTAGCTTGATCTTTACCAACCACCGAAAATGATCCAATGTACTAGAAAGAGAGAGATATTTTCATCAATTGATAGACAAATACTATGTTAACATTAGACACGTTATCACAACATGATGCATGCATACTACCTGTCAATCACACCCTACAGGCAAACTACATTTAAAGTGACAACTGCATTAAGTGATGAAATCAATTCTATAACTCACTTTCAAATATCATAAATCATATCTAATTATTATTTTTCAGTACAAATTTATTGCCTGGTCCATAATTTTTATGATAATAAGTTGATTAAAATCATATTGATATATAATAATTGATTGTTGTATGTATTATCACGTCAATCTGACAATTAACAATGTGTAAATCGTATCAAGTATGATGTTTGTACATGTTAATATTAAAAAAAAACAACCGGATCCATTGTTTAAGGTATAACCAACCCATTAAATATATAACATTTCATACACTTAGCTCCTCAGGTTAAGACCTTGTAATACTTTGCTTTCAGTGTGCTTTACTATTTATAACTGATGCTCTAAAGCTTACAATATTTCTATCCATTCTTGTCTTACACAAAAGCATGGATATTTTATATCTTGTTATTAGGTCTGTGTTGAACACATATTACTTTCATCAGATTGCTTAAAGTTTACTTAGTGAAATATTCAAACTAAGTAAGATGTATGTAGTGTCACTTTAACTCAGGTGAAAATCTACTGATCTCTTGTATAAAGACAACACTGAGTCAACAAACATCGTGTGATCAGAAGACAATTTAACAGTCTTTTTTACACAACAAACTTTCCTCAAAATTCTTCAGTACACACTCATCATACAACAAATTCAACTCCATTTTATACAACAAACTCATCATACAACAATTCAACAACCATTTTATACAACACTCATCATACAATAAGTCAACAACCATTTTATACAACAAACTCATCATACAACAATTCAACAACCATTTTATACAACAAACTCATTATACAACAAGTCAACAACCATTTTATACAACAAGTCAACAACCATTTTATACACCAAACTCATCATACAACAAGTCAACAACCTTTTTATACAACAAGATTTCAACGAGATACACACTCATCTCACAATAATTTAACAACCTTTTTATACAACAAACTTTCTTCCAAATTCTTCAATACACACTAGTCATACAATTCAACAACCATTTCATACAAAAAGCTTTCCTCCAAATTCTTTAATACAAACTCATTTCACAACAATTTAACAACCTTTTTATACAACAAAATCTTCAATACACACTCATCTATTTTTATCAACATTTTCACAAAAAAAATTTTCCTCAGATTCTTCAATGTTCATCTTGTCACAATTTAACAACCTTTCCTCCAAATTCTTCAATTAGTAAGCTTATACACCCTAATTATATCTTTTATATTCACTTCTCTTTACATCATCTAATTGTAATAATGATATAAAGTAAGGGCTGTGTCACTACTTTAAACTAACCAGACCAGTGCTTCTCAACCTTAGTGATGTGGAAGTGTTCCTCCAAATCTAATCCTTCCATAAAAAACTCTGTCATCTTTAGAGAGGATTTCCTCCCCTGTCGATAAACACTGAACTAGAGCTGTGAAGACCAATCCGCAATATAGAACAACACTACAGCAGCATTATATATTCACAATAAACTTTTGTCAAAAATATATCAATTTTTAAACTTAAGTTCTACATGCTGGTGTATGATTTTTCTAATTGATTTTTCCAGAATGCTTTTCATTTGTCAAAGTTGCAAAACAATCTCAACCATTGGTTGATGCACTGAAATACATTATCATTTGTACAATGTTTCCCTCAAGTGTAAAGAAAAATTGTGAAAAAATGTCATTTTGACTTCAACCTTAATTTGCAGCTCTTATTAGTTGTGTTATAAGCCTACACACTGAGCACAAGAAAAATTATGAAATGAAGACATGACTTAAAAGTAGTCTTAACTTCATATAAAATGTATTATCTCCCTTTAATTGGATTCTTAACTGAATCAGCTATCAAGCTGACTGCCTAATTCTCCACAGTCTTCATTTATGAATATAACAGAAAATTGTGCAATTTGTTAGCTTTTCAACCATTAAACTTTAAACATAGTAGATCTATTACATTAAAATATTTGTTTCTTAAATGTATTATAACAGTTTGCTATGCTATAGGACATCACATTTGAACAGTAACATATTCATTAAAAATGAAACAAATATACTAGTCAATTAAGTAGAGGAAATTAATCTGATTCTAAAACAGGAAGATTAAATTGATTGTTCAATCTATGAGTCAATAAACAATTGGTATCCATCATGCAATGCTGCAATAAGAGTTGAAATCTAACTGTGAGATAATTGTTAATCATTGAACAGACTGATTGATAACATCTATTATTTATCATTTAAGCTCATCCAGGCAAACATTTAAAAAATATCTTGTCATGTACAGTAGTTGTTCCTGAACTGGAATAGGGTTTGAAATGTCTGAAATTCAGGATCTGAATTTTGAAATGTGGAATTGTATGGTTACTGTAGAGGAGTTTGTCTGAAATAGTATATCTATTTCGTTTGTAAGTTTCTGAATGTAAGATAGATTTGATCAAGCCATTAGTTGTCAGGTTGATGAGCCAGGATCAATACAGATTAACGTTATATAACAAGAGACAACCATGAGATTTATAGAATAAATGCTAACACTAGTCAATAAGAGATGTACTGATATCTATTATGTAATTACTGTCTTTAACAAATCTTTACTCTAATCCTCCATAATCCTATATCAGGATTAGTAATGACCCAGAAATATCCACTCAAATTGTAGGGGAACCACACCATATTTTCAATTTTTCAACACACAAAAAAAAACAAAAAAACACTAACAAGGCATAATAACGAATAAAGGCATGGATTTGGGGTCCTGCCCTAAGAGACCACTGTACTTTAGGCCTAAAGCTGGTAGCCCTTGGTAACACAGCAAACATACAGAGATGTTAGAGAATTATTTATTTTTATCAGCTAAAATGTATTTTTACAACTGCAAAAGAAACTTTTCAATTTTTAGAGTTATTATTGAATTACCACTGGTTATTTAAGTTATTGCCATGGGACAGAAAACAACTATTTAATGCAAATTAACAAGAGGAGAAAACAGTTCCAGCAGACAGCTAGATTGGAATTGAATGACACAATCGTTTCAATCAACAAGTTACCTTGGAGCCACTTGTCTGGACAGAAACAATATTTCATAAACCAGATATCATTAAAAAACATAAACAGCTTTGAACAAAGAGATGAAGTTGATTGAATTGCCATTGATAATAGAAAATTTACTCACACATGAAATTGGCTCAAAAAGAAATGCCTGTGTCTTGAAAGAACACGAGAAACTTTTGATTAATTCTTTTCAAAGCAGCAACTGGACAATTTGAGTTCCAAGCTAAATATAACTGTGAGAGATATTTTTCAGATATCAGGCTTTATAATGTGACAGTGACAGAAACTGAAAATGTCTCCTCTACCACAACAAGACCTAATCAAGTTTTCCCTTTTTTCCTACAAAAGGCAACTTCCTATCTTAATTCTTATAAAATTACCCAATTAGAAATAATATGGAACAGGAAACAGAAATCTGGGCTGAGAATTTGGAAAAAAAGGTTAAAAATCTTAAATGAAGCTAAATTCCATATTTTCTGTTATTCTCTGAATATAAGTCTAAGAATAATGAATAAAATGGACATGACATTTTCAGCATGTTACAGGTCTGTACCTAAAATTAGTGATAGGAAATGTTCAAAGATGGATACCATATGTATTACCATTTTGTTATCAAACATGTCTATCTATATCTCAGGTTGAATAATCTGAAGGAATTTTTCTCTCATTAAACCCTCTTCACCATTCATAAGATGGAATTTTCAGGTTAATTCTCACTTCATTTACATGGCTACAATAGGACACGAGAGATTCTTCCTTTCATAACGATCACTGTATTCTGGAGTGGTGTGGAGAACATCCAGAATTCTGTTCAAACCTGTTGGATTTCATCAATTTAAAAATCACCTCAATAGGAGTATAATAATAATTGGGCTGCTGCCTCAAATATTTATTTATATACATAACTATGTCATATTGTTTCATAAGCTCATATAAATAGTAGAAAAATATAAAGACTAATAATTCCATCTATATTTACATAATTTTATTCAGAATTTAAATCCCTAAGCTTGTCAATCCAGGCTTTCTTGACTGTCAGTATATTGCCATACAGTGAGGTATTATTACAGAACCGATACCTAGTCGTAACTAATCAATAATCACCAGACCGAACAGCTTCTTTTTTTTTACATGAAAACTGAGTTATATGTATCAAGATCTATAAAGTAGAATTGATTTTTTTTATCATGAGTAGTTGTAACTAAACTTTGTTCTAATAACCTAAATAGTCCATTAGTACATATTATTCTAGTAGACTACTATCCCATGAAACCCATGAGATGTATTAATACTAAAACAGTCCAAAACAATTCATCATGATAGCTTTAATTTCAGGAAATATCCATATAATAACTTGTTTTAAGATAAAAAGGATAATAAAGAATAAGAGATAATACCAAAATGGAAATAGCTTTCAATAGCTAAGGGGACAAATCACTTTAAGTAGTACATTGACATATTAAACATATTTAACAAACACTAAAATTGTAAAACCACAACAATATTTCTCAACTGATGTTACCAGACTCAATCAATTTCATAACACATGCTAATTATATTAGAGATTAAATATCTGACCTGTGTGAAATATCTGGTCTATTTTATCTTCATTCAAAGACCAGACATTGAAGCATGTGTATAATGAATGCTCTAAAACATGAATTTCTAATTTACTAATGGACAGTCTACAATGGACAGAATCATCCAGCACAGCAAAAGTGTCAAATGGTTCATATCATTTTGAATATACTACAATCTATTGCTAGAAACATCTTAACTTGAAGACTGAAAGACTTTAGGTGCCTGATTGATTGCAATATTGACCACACTAAAATTATGAAATTATTATGTTTGAGATAACAATTGGATTAGGAATTAACATTTCCTTTTCCTTTTACAATAAATTACATCAAGGAAACATAATCATTCATTGTGTAATTTTTACTCAATGATAGATGCAACTTTTCCATTAATCTCTGATTACACTGGCTGGTGACATAGCTGACAATATAACTGCATTGGCTATACACCTAGAGGTGCAAATTCCCCTGTCAAGATTTGGGCTGAAGGTAACAATTTTGAATTAGGTAATTGGAAAGAAACTGCTAAATGTTTATCAATAAATTTATCTAAATTGATGGATATCATGTTGGTTTCTTCCTCCTGCCAGTTGCATTGGATAATTACTCTCCACCATATTGGCTACTGAAGTAACAGCTAAAAGGTTAGGATATACATACCAGTTCACCACATGATCAGATCTAAATACAGGACTACATTAATAAAGTATGATCTAAATTCAATCTTTATCAGACAAACATA